GAAGGTACATTTCATTTTCTTGGCGGCATTTGTTACCATAACGGGCGTTATTTCAAAAGTGTTTATGTCAACAAGGTTTGAAGGCACATCCGAAACAGCCGAGACAAGTTCAGTCGAGGTGATGGATTCTGCGGCAAAAACCGACGAAAAATGAGCTGCAAAAGCTCACATTTCTCCCCGCCTATCGACGATTCAACGTCATTGAAAAAAACGCTTGCAGGCAATTGTTGAATTTTTCCTCTTCGAGTTTACATAGCTCCAAAAGCTCTTGGGGTTTCGCCTTAAATTAGTTTGCACTCGTAAAACGTACGATTTGTAGAGCGAAGAGTTTAGATTACGGTACTCGTTACACGCCAAGTGAAAACTACGCTTGTTTGCCAGGGAACGGTATCGCCGAAGTCTACGTTGCGAAGCATTTCTTTTTCGTTTTAGTTTTCGTAGCAAAGCGGTGCTCCACGCAGGAGAAACAGCAGGCCGACGAAAATGAGGGGTTAGTGGATTTTCCTATGTTTCGAGGGGTGAATCGATTAGCTTGGGACCGAAGATAGTACCAGAGCTGAGCCAACAACTTGAGCTCGTTTCTTTGGGACCTTCTGGTCTTAGAGTTACCTCTATGATTATACAGCCTCAATCAAACGATTATATATTGCTCTTCATCTGACGTTTTGGTATTTATTACACCTTCTTCGAGAAGTTAGACCCGTTAACCGTTATAGTTCTGCAAGTTTTGGTTCAAGCAAACACTTTCATACTTGAAAACGTTGGCTAATGCTATACTCCGATTATTCATTTTATATAGAAAATTAAAGTTAAGCCTGATTCAGCTTCTAGTAAATGCTTCCAAACATAAACAGTTGAAAGCTAACACAATCTTGATTAGTGTTCAAAAATGCAATAACCTTAAATAAACAATAATTTCTCCGATTACTGCTTTCATAAATTTACATGTATTACAGTTTCAATTATATTGATTACTTGATGAGTTCTCCCAAGTAATATTTTACGTTTTATGAAATACTACAAGGCTACTATAAAACCTCATTAAGACTAGAATCTGTCTAGTTGGCCCACCCCGAAGAAGGTTTTGAAGGACATATTTTCGAGGCACTTCAAGATTGATTTGCTGCAAAAAGGTTATACGGTGAAAGCATTGAAAACCATTTGAAATCCTTATTAAAACTACAATAAAAGCCATTTGGCATCACAACTTGTTCCATTTGCCTATGACGCTTGCTTACCGCACTGAAAATAAAGCATGAATCAAGATTAAAAGGGATACATAAATATCATCAGATCTTGCCAAATTCATTGTTCAAAAATGAAGCTTTAAAAAATCTTCTTAAATTTCCTCATATAATGTGAAAGAATTACCAAAATTTTCAAAGCAGTTCTCATTTTTTGGACTATTTTTTGGTGACAGATTAAATCAAAAGTGAAACATGCTTCGAAATGCAATTTTGCTTTCATGAAATCGCTAACAAATACAACATGTTTTAGTTTGGCTTTAATGAAGATAACTTGTATTTATCTGAGGCCATTTTACTTGTTCCTATTCCGTTTAGTTTTATGACGGCATTAATGGTGCCTGGAAAAAGTTAAACGTCAAAGTTTGTTTATATTTCGATAGTTTTGTTGCGCGATCACTGCACTGAGCTTCTACTCCTGCGTTGGATCAACAAGTTGCGTGGCATCCTCGATAAAGGTGATTATCTTCCATTGGAAGAAGTTAATCATTAAGCGTATCTGCATAACATGGAACAGGTGGAAGCTCAATCGTTCCCAAAAAGTTTCCCTTCTCCCAATGATGCAAGGAAGTTAATGTGCGCTTGCTTGGATTTTTAGGAACAGTTGACCTTTTCGCCGAATGAAACCGCTGCTGTGGTTTGGAAGGCAGTCAGTTTCCAGCTGACTGACAGCTTCTGAAGTTACCAGTCGGCAGTTTTCCGCAGTCCCAGTTTGGCACTGATGCATGTTATTCGAATCATCATCGAAACGCGATTTCTGGAGAAGGTTGGTCTGTGTTTATTCAGATCGTGACGTGATATTTTGGGTATTTCCATCAATTTCAAGCGTCTAATTTGACGGCTTCCAGTGCTTCGTAAACCACATTCACTCACTCTTCTCAGTCGGCTGTTCTGTCATCGTTGACCGGTTTAATCGGAGCTGCTGTGCCTCCTAAGAAGTTCTGGAATTGGATTCTTTTTCCTTTCCGTCGACAGCATCGCTAGAATTATTCTTTCTACTATCGCTAGTATTATTATTCGACTATCCTTTGGCATTTCCTTGTGATTCTTCGTTTAAAAGCTCCAATCTATTTATTTTGTCTCTAGGCGGGTCCATATTTTAAATTTAATTTGTAAAGGGTAGTTCTGTGGAGTTTTGTGATATACTTTATTGACATCAAAAAGCAGCAACATATGCTTTTTGTTCCCGATTAAAACCGAATGGTTTTATAATTGCTCTTATAATTATTAAACACCTTTGTGGAGTATTTTGTCGTGGCATCAATAAAAAAAATACCGAGCAGGTTTATGACTGACTAACTGAACAGTTTTATATAAGGATAGAGTGCTGGATTAAATTCATTTTTAAAACCAGACCCGTTTTGACTTTACCGTCGGACTTTAAAAGGTTTTTAAAACAAAAAAATGCTGAACTACTGACCAAGAATGTGTGGCACTTTTAAATGCTGTATTTAAACTAAAAATTTAGCTAATTAAATTATAAAACAAAAATGAAAAGGCTGTTAAGTACGGCAACATTATTTTCATTAGTCCCAGTCTTCCATTCATGTGGCGTAAAAAAGTAGAAGAATCTGTGCCTAGGGGCACGAACGGGAGCTTGACGTAGGACCGCTAGGGCACGGAACAATTGTGAAGAAAATTTAGTTCTTTTAATTGATCGATCATCTATTATCTTAACTCTTTCCGTTTTTGATTTGTAGGCGTACCAAATGTGTAGTATTTTTTTTTTAAGGGAAAGTTGATGAAGAGAATCGATCGAAATCACTTGCACCCCTTTGTTTACAAGATTACAACTCTTCAGAGCATTTTGTGTGGTCGTTGAGGGCATGTGGTTCTGAATATGGACCAACAGGCAGATAAATTCTATTCTAACTTTTTACTGTAATAAGCTTGTTGGCCCAGAAAAGGGCCGTTTTGTTGCCAAAGTTGGTGATGATTTAACCTTCGAAACTGTACAGAGTTCGTCTGTCGCTTCAAAGCGTAGACGACATCGATGGCCGCTTACGCTTAGCGTGTTCAGTATAGGTGACAGCATCACGGATCACATTTTCCAAGAACACCTTCAGCACACCTCGTGTTTTCGCGTAGATCAGACCGGAAACACGTTTGACACCGCCACGGCAAGCTAGACGACTGCTTTTGCTGCTTCTGCTGCCTGCTAAAATGAGTTGAGGCTAGACAGCAGCGCTCTTTTATAACTTTTCAGGTTAAAGCAGAATGATGTGCAACCAAGTGATACTCGATTATGATGACATGTCACTTTTTATTTGTACTTTGGATAATGCTTGACATTACCACTTTTTCAATAGTTTCTTGTTGAAAACCATCAGCATTGCGTAGACATATTTCTGATCGATTGGTGATAAAATTATTGAAATTGATCCAGGGGTCGCTGAGTTATTAATGTTCAAAATCTTTCATAATTTTGTTTCATGTTCCATTTTCGGTTTTCACAAAGTGTACCCCAGTATAGAAATTAAAGACGTAGTTCTGCGTCAAAAAATGTGTTGTGGTATTATGGAATCATAAGATGTTATGCCACGGATACACTTCTATGACGAACTATGCGCAACTTTGAACATGAGCATGGTCACACTTGCATAGTTTTTGTAAAGCACTTATAATTATTATACAAATAATGTTCATGCTCATAGTTTGTCATCTAAGTGTATCCGCGGAATTATACTGATATTTTGTATTTGTTAGCTACAATGAGGTTGTATGGGATGTCTTATACACATAACACCTGCCAACTTTGCCTTTAAAGCGTCACAATCAGTGATTTTATGATCGCTGTTCGCGAAGAATGAAGAATTGGTTAGAGAAAATGATAAAATCGCTTATTGCAACTCTCATGAAGCGAAATTGGCAGAACTAGAATGTTTTGTGAATTGTCGAATAATTGGATGGTTTGTTGGTTGGATGGTCATTCGGTTTGCTTATTAGATAATCATCCAGTTTGATTGAAGGGTTTATTTTGCTAGATAGTTGGTCAGACAGCCCCGTACTCTAAAAGATGCTGATAACTTCTTATGAGGCATTGCAACAATTAGAGTTTATACATTATTTAGCAATTTTAGAACTTGTTATGACAAATATAAGGATTGGTAGTTTTATTGTGACGCACTGCATGTAATTACACACGATAAGTTACTGTTACATAGATAACAATAAATCATCCTACCTTAAAAATAGTCCCTCGTACCCGAGAATAATGAAGAAAATTATTCGGTTGAAATATAAAATTGGTTAAGAAATTTATTTAGTGTCTAAAATAATAGATATTCATTTGAATAATAGAAACGCGAGGAAAGTTCATAGTTCGTAGAAAACCTGCAGGGTTCAAATTTGAATCATAAACACGTCTTATCCCACTTTTCCCTGTGAACCGTACTTTCTATTTAATTTTGTGAACTGCATCGTTTTCCAAATAATCCGGAAAATTCCTACATAACTTGCGCCTATAACTCAAGTGAACATTCTGGCTGACCGTCTATTTTGGGCAGTAAAACATCTCCATGCAATCCACCACCCAGAACCGTGATCATAAATTTTGTGCGTGGTCCTAAAAACAAAAATACTCTGCCACTTCAAGAGCTTGTAATAAACACGATTCATGTAAGCTTTCCGTGCTCAGACAACCGATCCAACCGATAAATGCTACTGACAGAGCGGTTCGCGTGTCTGCCTTTGCAAGTATTGAACCAAAACAATGCTTACGTATGCAAAGATAAACTGAAGTGCGAGCCCTATCTGTATGTATGTATGTATGTATGTATATACAAACAATCACTCAAGACTACCCACATCGCGTCCATCCCCCGTTACGGTCGTGTAATGGTCATGGTTGGGAAATGAGCAAAACGCCCAACCAACCACATTAGCCAGTGCCAGTCGTGCCGAAACAAACACACATTTTGGACGCTCTAGTGTCGTAATTGTTCTAACGCGAATTTTAAGACGTAGAATTTAATCGCGAGTTTATTTCCAATCGAAGGTCGGATTTTGCACCAAAATTCGTGACTTGAGGTGACCACATCAAAGTGACATCTTCCGCAGACATGTGGTGTTAATTGAGCTGCAATATGTACCTGTAACTTTCGTCATTGATAGAAGTGCAGATAACGCATGTAGCCGTTGTTTCCGTAACGCGATTGTGAATGTGCTTGTTTATGTTCGTCGTGTGGGTGGAGAAGTTCGGTTCGGTGACGGTCCGGTGCATGCGTTGTTCGTGTGCCGTCAGTAGTGCCATGTGTTTATTTTTGAAGCATTTTTGATGATGGTTTGGAAATCGGAACACTGATAGGCGGGAGATCATTACCACGGACTCATCAGCTGGTGGCCTTGTGACGTGTGAGCTGGTTCGAGGCGGAGGGTTATTGCAGAAGCATGGTTTTGTTTGGGCTGGAGATTATTCAAATCCATTTTGATTAAGCCATTCAATAGAGGAAATTAGCGGTCGTTATCTTTTTGAAACTCGTGTCTTTTTGTTTAATCACGATTGAAATTAGCTAACGGAGTCTGTTGATGTTGAATTCTTTTGCTATTTGATGGGTTTGGCTAAAATCAGATTCTTCCACAGAACCAAGGCGTTAGGAAAAATGTATTTTGGGAGTTTCATAATTCACCTTGTGGCGAGCGCTTGGTAAAATTAATGCAACGATTGTATGAATGACCGCTTCAATTTCAAAATGTTTTACATTTTTAACTCTCCGAGCATCATCATTATAATTTTTCAAAATGATGTATCTTGGATTCTATTTATCCAGTGTCTTGTGGATGCCTTGAACATATATCCGGAGGGGGGTGAAATTGCTTTTGTAAATAAACACGTAAACCACAAAACACACACAAACTATTAACACAATCAGGTAGAGGAATGATTGCTCTATCATTTGGTATAGTTTGTTTTGGTTCTAGAATTGTTAGCAGACTTCTAATTTGCTTCAGTCCCACCTAGAGGGTCATTTTTCTCGGGTTGGAAAAATCCCAGGATTCACGATTTGAGTTTTTGAAGTTCCCAGTTTGTTGTTGGATAATGCCCTTCGGAATATTGATGCGTTCATTTTAGCAGCTGTTCTGTCGTTTTTCTTTTTCGGAAGTCAATGAGAAAAACTGATGACAGTTTTCTTACACGATTTTGAACAATTGGTTGAGTTAAGCATCAGGTAGCTCAGCAGATGAACTTGATGTATTGTTGTTATAAAGAAATATCGTATGTCATACCAATTTAATAGTTTCTCTTCTGTCGGTAACGCTTGCCATGTCAAGTCATCATTGTAAAAGTTAACGCTGACGTTATCGACGGTTATCAATTAGAAGCCCTGGTTTCAACACTGTAAAGTGCACAGTGGGGCAACCCCATACAAAAACCGATCGTAATGAAGTATTTTGTTTTTGTTTGTCGTATTTAACATTATTTTTAATTTAGTTGGATATGCTTAACGTCAATATCAGACTTAAAGTGTAAATTTTATATGATACATGACGAGATGAAGGTAGATAGTTGTACGTTATAGTACGGTAGTGTGAATATTGGATATAAAAATCGAGCAAAGAACAATTTTGCGCAGGGTACGAATCGGATTGAGCATCCCCTTTTCCAAACTCATCCGTTGATGAGGGTTGTTTTCCCTCAAATGAGGTACATGAGCAAATCGGCAACCATGCCTTTTTCCAGTTGTCTTTTCATCTTCGTATTTCAAGCTTATTGTTTATCGCATATAAGCTTATTGCGCAACTTAGTGATCTAGATGCACTTTCACAGTTGTTAATTGAGAGTGGTATCAACTGTACCATTTTTGCATTAATACAATTGTGTGGCAAGTACAATCATACTCTTTACCCAGGGAAGTCGATAAATTGTCCAACTCGAAAAATTCCTAGACAGGAATCGAACCCAGCATGGTATTTCTTTGTAGTTGCGCCTTTATCGACTGAGCTAAGGGAGGCCCCAGTTGTCGAGGGAGGATACACTCCTCACCACCCTTCATCAACGGCTGAGTTTGGCTCAATCCGATGTTACGATTTCCACCACCAAAGTTCCGGCTCATTTTGACATCCGGTTCTTTGCGCAGATCGTGCCAATAATAATAGAGGTAACTCTAAGACCAGAAGGTCCCGAAGAAACGTGCTTAACTTTTTGGCTCAGCTCTAGTACTCTCTTCGGTCCCAAGCTAATCGATGCACTCCTTGAAACGTAAGGAAATCCACGAACCCCTAATTTTATCTGTCCAACTTTCATAGTGAATCAAAACAAACATAGTGTAGTACTAGAATTTCGTCTCGAATAGGGTCCATCATCTGGTCCAGCAAAGTTGAACTTCTTTTCGTCCTAAAAAAGTACATTTTTCCATTCATCCGTCCACGAAATGTATTTTTCTGCGTAATTGAACCGATTCAATGTATGCCACTCTGTTAATTTGGGTTTCCCAGTATTTTGCGTCACTCCAAGTTTTCGTTGCTTGACCGAATTTGCGCCTTGTTGTTATCGGAAGCTGCAAATCTGCACGGACTTGTGATGCTGTTCTTTTCTTGTTAATTGTTTCTCTACAAATTCTTCGCTTATCCTTAGCCGTAAGCTTAGTTTTCTTCCCACGTCGGTCGATGTGGCTACCATTATCGCCATTTCTCAGAAATCTTCCGACAACGGTATGTGATCAGAAGAGTTTCCGACCGATTTCTCCAGAAGGAAGGCCTGCATCAAGGTAGGCTTTGATGTTTACCTTTTGCTCGAACCATGACTGCTAGATTACAGAAAAGTTATTCTGTTTTCGTCGCAATTTGAATTAAACTTAACCTTTTGCTCGGAGGCTAACCAGCTCCAGACTGAAAGCCTCCTTAATAAAGAAAACTTAACTTAACCTTCTGCTCGAATCTATCGCAACTCACTCGAAACCAAAACAAATACTATCAAATTGCGTTAGGAAGCCGGAGGGATAGCAGAAGGGGAGGAATCAAGGTTGAGTATGCATTGCAAGTGCGATTTGGCAATATGCTCACCAATCGCATTTGCTTTCTCCTGAAGGGTGATTATGAGCCGATCGTCATCATATTCATCTTTGAGTGGTGGAATGGATTTGGGGTGCCTATTTAAGACCTTGGCAACTTTCCAGAATGGTCTGGAGTGGTTATCCAGATTCTGAAAACGTTCGTTCCGGAGTGAGACCATTCTGGAAGCAATCTCCTTGTTCAGATCGGCCATTTCACGTTTCCTCGCTAGATCTCCTGTTCTTTGGAACTGGCGTCTACGGACATTTCTCAGGCGAATCAAGAGTTGGGTGTGAGAATCAATAGCAATAAACTTACCTCTCACGGGAATTCGTCGGACGCATGCCTCGTCAGCCACGGTTATGGTTTGGTGGAGTCCCTTCAACGCTCGGTAGATGTCCTCCACGGTGTCAAGCGGCGGGTTGTCGATGATTTGCCTGTCTGCCCCGCGTCCAAACTGGGCCCAGTTTACGCGATGGTAGTCCTTGCGCAGGCTTGGAGCAGGGGCTACGTTGTATCTCAGTTCAGCCACCACCGGTTGGTGGTCGGAGCTGTGTTCGCTCAAGACCACCGGCTTGGACAAGCCGATATTGGTCAGGAACAGGTCTAGGGTCAATGAGTTGCCCGCCGGTGAGATAAATGTTGGCTCATCCGAAAACCAAACGGAGTACAGCCCATGCTGTGAGTGTTCAAACAGCAGACGACCGTTCTGGTTCTGCCTGTAGTTCCACCAGGCCTCATGGCGAGCGTTTAGATCTCCTCCAACTACGAAGCGGGAACCGGTACGGGTGATCCTTCTTGAATTTAGCCGCTAGTCCACTGCTGGCGGCACACTGTCGAGGGCAGTAGACGGCGACTGATATGGGACAGACTGTGGTATTTTATCCCTTTCTTAACGACGACCGCAACACCACCACCCCTGGAGCTGGTGCGATCAAGCCGAATAATGTTGTGGTCGGGCAACCAGAAGCTGTCGCCGGAGATGGGTCTCAGTTAGAACGCCCACGTCGATTCTGTGCTTTCGGAGGAAGTCGGAAAGCTCAATCTGTTTAGCTCTTACAGAGCAAGCATTCCAGGTGATGATAGTTAGCAGTTTAGACGCCATAAACTTACCGAGGACTTGGATCTGCTCGGGCTTATTGCGGCACTTACGAAGAGCACCGGCCATGTTGACGAAGATTTCCATCAGTTCATCTGCTGAAAACAGATCGGGGTTGTTGTTCAGCGTTGGTGGTTGTCTCCAGAATTCAGGGGGGGGGGGGAGGTTCGAGATCAATATCCAGCAGAATCACCGGAAGCTTCTTGAGAGGGAGGGTGGGTTGCACTCGCGAATTTGCTTGCCTTTGCTAGGGAGCACGAAGAGGCGGGAAATCCTCCGTCCTGAAAGCTGGGGTTTTGTCCTTCTTGCGTCCTGGTTGATTGTTGCTTGACGCCTGCTTTCAGATGGTTTGAAGTCCTCGCGTTTGGAGCACTGTCTGTCGGAACCTTGATGTGCACCACCACAGTTGGCGCATTTTAACGCCACTGCTCCATCCGCAGGGCAGTCAGAAGTGGCGTGTTCTTGAGCGCAGTTGCTGCAGTGTGGCTTGATGTTGCAGTTGCGTGTCCAAAATTGTCACCGCCCCTTTCTGGAAGTGCTCCAGGAAAAGGAAATCCGGGTACATCTACAAGTTTTCGTCTCTCCTCGTCATCCGAAAGACAGCGATTCCCAAGTAGCAATTTGAGTTTTATGAGGGTTCTGAAGACCATGATTTTAACTTGTAGAACACTTTAAAACCACGATAAAACTTGAAATGTTACTTGGGTTGGGACCAGCTTATACCGGTCCTTGATTTCGGCTCCAATCATCTTGGGGTCGAAGTTTGGTAGGCCCCTGATGAATACTTTGAAGGGCTTCTCACCTGGGATGTCATGAGTGAAGAATTCCGCCTTGGAATCCTTTAAATATTTTACGGCCACCTCGTACTCCGCTTTCGTATGGAGCATCACACCTTGGTGCCGATCCTGCCGAGCTTAAGCTTAGCTGTGACGCCCAGAATGTTATGCGGCAGAATTCTCATTGTCGACTGCGTCGCCGAAATCACCGATGACGCTGACGTTCGTCGCGGTAACATCGTCACGTCCACTCGTACCATCGGACTGGCTCTGATTTTTCTTCCTCTTCTTGGTCCGCTTCACCGTGGCTGAGGTGGTATTCCCAACATCGGTGGGAAGAGTAGCGTACCTATTCGAAAGAGGTACACTCAAGCTACCCTAACCGCTGTTCTTCTTCTCCACTTTCTCTCGGAGCCTGCTCCGGGAGCGCTGTCTTCCCATCACACGAAGCGACCGACGCTATTTACGTTTGAAGTCCGCTATTAACGTTTGAAACAAACTAAAAACTTTCGAACAACTCGACAGAGTGAGCAAAAACCGAACTGTACTGTTTGACGATCAAGCTGAGAATATGCAGTGCAAAACATTTCTAGTACCTCTACATATTCATTAAGATTAACATCCGAAGTCCCTCCTTTTTTACATATTCTGCACAAAAATATTTTCTTTGCCCCGCCCCTTATAGAATTTCTCACCGTTTTTTCTATGAATGAGGCGGGGCAGAATGTATATTTTGTGTAGAATATATATAAAAAAAAAGAGGGACTTCGGATATTAATCTAAATGTTTTGCAGTGTAAGGTACTATATTTTGTAATCTGAGAGAGGGAACTCACAAATCGAGTGTCATTAAAATACATGGCATGTTGATAGATTGAGCTCATGAGAGAGAATTTTCTCTCTCAGATTTTTATTTTCTGGCTCTCTGGAGACTGTAGTCAAGCGGTTAATAAAGTATGAGAAAAATGCTTATTTATTCAATTGTAGCTTGTGTAACAATATTTTTTAGGAGAAAAGTGACGAATTCCTCGAATGATTTCTTTAGATTTTCGTCGACTTTTTTTTTACCTGAAGATGCATCAAAAGCCACTTCCACTTTCACAAATTTCTACCTGGGGATTTTTACTTTTTTTTTTACTAAATTCCAATGCAACAGTGCCATCTGTGTGAAAATAGCCTTGACTTAATGGTTCATTCCTCGGTTAGTCAGTCGATTTATAAAATTTACCAAATTTTATTTTTTAATATAAGAATTTAACAATGCTCTATTCTTTTTATTTCTTACTCAAAGCTCACAACGTTATGGTGTAAATTCAAATTTGACTGTTTTTGCATCGTGCAACATCGCGCGAAAGAATCGTTGCAGTTTACTTGCTTCTGCTTGCTTTTGGGAACATTGAATTTGTTTGTAACAAATGTGCATTGATCAAACGTGTTTTGAAGTACTAGGGCAATTCCCTACGAATTCAGAAATCGGTTTATTTTTGTATTTTTTGATTTGGTTGAAAATTTGCAGAAACTTTCCTTATGACCAACAATGCCATTTTGCATCTTCATATAGCCATTTTGAATCCAGCCTTATTTTTGAATAGGACATATAGAAAAATATCAAGCTTAACTTCAGAAAAATTTTACTTGCCCGATCGGTTTGGTGTCTTGAACAATATTGCAGATAATGAATGAGACTATTTGAAAAAAATATTCACTCTAAAATAAAATTACCCAATTTTTTTTTAACTTCAAATAAAATCTTAAAAGCAAGTTTTCTCAAAAACTGATTTTTTGTATTTTTTTAATTGTTGATATGTTTTAGGGGACAAAAAGTGCCATCTATTGCACTATAGGTCAAGATGGGGAAATGATGGACAAAAAAGTTATAATGTTTTAAAAAAGCTTAAAACAAGTTTTTGGGAAAGGTACCAAAACTTGGTCCAATTACTGTTTCGACTTTATATAATGAAAGTACACAAAATTTACGAAGGTAAAATTTTGCTAAATCGCACCGTTCTCGAGATGTAGTGGTTTGAAAGTAGATATTTCTATTGCTCTATATTTATTCGACATGATATCCGCTGATTTGGCTAAAATTAGGATGCGCATAGTTCCTCAATTTCAGTGTTTTATGTTGTAAGTTGTACGGAATCATGAAAAGTTATCTCTAATTTAATTAAAATAAACATACAGAAACAAAGAGTGGGTTCAGGTGCAAAATTTAGCTTAAAATATTTTCAATTTTCATGAGTGTTTTTCTTTTAGTGTATATTGTTTTATTTTATTTATTTATAGCATACACGGTTCACAACACTTCGTCCTCTGATGAGAAATTAATAAGAAAATTTAATTTCAAAGTTCAAATTTTCAAAAAAAAAAACTTCTTCATAAAGAGAATCTTCCTTGCAAAACAAGCATTTTTGTCAAATTGGGTGGTTTAATATGTTTGACCAGCTAGAGTGGAATAATCGAGTATTAGTACAAGATACTTAAGAACCCTGCACATTGTAGACGAAATACGCGTATCTGTCAGTGACAAGCCAAGTAAAATTAAATGGAAATTACCAATCCTTCTCCTTTTCTTGAAACATTTATAAATTTTTCAAATTGGACACTTTGAAATTGTCCGATGAAAGTCTTATCAAATTGTTAATCTGTTAATCTTGACACAGAATGTTTGAAATTTTTGCTTAGAAACAAGGGAGACTTTTAAAAAGGTTTCTTTGCAATTATAACGAACTGGAATATTTTTCTCTATTACAAAAACATCTAACCATATTTGAAGACATTCAGGTTTCTTGAGTTGAAGCTTATATTACATCTAATGTTTCTTAATACGCTTCATTTTTTAGGACCCAGTTGGGATATTACCTATTCACGATTTTGATTATTTTATGACAAATTAATAATATGGAACTATTGTTGTTCAGGGAGCATTTGTAGCATTTGTAATACTTAAATAATCACAAGGAACATTTACTTAGAACATTCTATCTTGGTGAATCACTTTTCATATCGGTGATATTTGTAATACTTAGGGGGTTTCTTTCAGAACTAGGAGCACCTCCGTGTTGCAAGCTCGCTGATCTCATACAAGCCTGTAGCACATTACAGCCTCATTGGGAGAGCGGTAATTAAATAACGTGTCGTGTTAGGGTAAAAGTATATTCTACACTTTAACTCAGATGATCATAAGAAAGTCAAATATGGTAAAAAAATTTAGATACAATCATAGAAATTCGCACTAAAAAAATGATCTTAGTGATCTAGTGATAGTCATGAACACATTTTTTTTATTATAGTCACTCTCTTGGGTCCTTCGTGACTTGTGTTATGAATATTAACCACAACGCTGGCGCCGCCCCCAAAAATATATTTATGATGGCCTATTGAACCAATTATTGAAGCCTCTGTGCAAAAACTGGCACGTTTACCCTGCTTTCAATTAAAAATCTGTCATTTTCTGCAACTTGATCCTCCGATGACGACACTGCCATAGGAACCATCAAAATCTACTGATGAGAAAATCATGGAAATTCAATTTACTTTTTTTCCGTCGCAGTCTGCTCACACTCACACAAAGGACCATTTAGACTAGGACATAAAAAAAACCGAACGAGTCCTGGAAATGTTCTCCCCGCGTGGTCCTCCGGCTTTCCACCCATCATCAGCCAGCTCACACTTCGCGTAGTGGACTTATTTGATTCGTTTAGCGCAAAAATATAATGCAAATTTAATTACGTTCGAAATCACTCCCGAAAGTTCCACGTGAAATTGCCATCAGTGTCTCATCGCTTGCCTCATGGATCCCTTCGGTGATGAGGCCTTCATCCGCACCGCCGCGAACTACGGTCTCGGTGGTAATGCTGGAGCAGGTGATGGCGGTGTTGGTACAAGAAGCAGCACCAACGCCGGTAGCGAGTCACCTTTCCCGATGCTGACTCACAAGTTGCGACGGATGGAAAATTTCGATTTTTCCGCAACACCCCCACGGGCACCGTCGCCACCGCCTCCGTCGCTCTACTTCGACAACAACTCGTCCATTTCGTCCAGATCGTCGGTGGCCGAACCGCTGGATCTGAACGTGGTTCAACTGTTTTATCAAATCTGCAAGGTAAACAAGACACGATGACAGGCGGGTGGCTATTGGGAACCGTCGCGTCAGTATGTATACACCTAATCTCCATAGCTATGAGGTGGAGTTGGGCGAGACTAGGGAGAGCGGATTTTCCCGGTTGCAATGCGCTGCTGTGTCAATTATGATGACTATATTTAGACGTTGTGGGCGAAGAGAGGGCCTAATTGGAATGATTTTCCTTCCATAAGAAGCGTGACAAGGGTTTTTGTATGTGTGTGTGTGTGCGTTTAAACGTCGACGTAGCAGATTAGTGAGAATTTGATTAGATAAAGACTGATTAGTAGCGTGTGGCACTATCATTCAAGCGATGACAATCATAATTTATGCAAATATGTAAATTCTTCTCCCACGAGGAGTTGCTAATGGTTTTCTACAGAACGTCTTATTCTTTGGTTTTTTACGTCCCTACTTGTCTGAGTCGTCATTTTGATCAGAAGTGAAGTTTTCGTGCCACACTTTATTGAAAAATTACAAAGACGCCTTTTTGAACAAAATTACAGCATCCAAAATGGCCGATTTTTTGTTAAAGTTCGTTAGTTGGCGTGGAACTGCTAAGTTGTTAATTGAGACCTTTCTAAGCGTTTACCATTTTTGTAATACGTAATATTTTTGTAATGTACGTTACGGGACGTAAGATGTACCACCGATTCCTAGTCTTGACTACTTCAAACTAGGGTAACAGGATTTTTCAGTAATCAAAGGAACACATCTTAGTGCTTGTTACATTTTATGCCTGGTTGATAGTGATAAGTCCTTGGGTTGCCTGGACTGAGGATGATCTTGAAACAAAGAAAAAATGAGTTAGTTAGTCTTCATCTAAGTCATTCCTAATCTTCTATTCGTCGTTCCTTAGTTTGAAGTGGTTAAGACTAGGGTTCTGATGCATGGTCACTATCGGTGTCATTCTTTAATTTTTTTGCTAAGGAATCAAATTTTGACTGACAAAGGGGCGCGCCTTTGGAGGGTGTTCCAACTCCGAAGGGTAGAAATAGCGGGATCTTTCTATTAGAATCGATTCCTTGCGATGAAGGCAAGAATGACAACTGTATCAAAACCGAGTACTTCATCATTTCTCAATAGTGATGGAGTAATACGTCATGCACTAAACTAAGGACACGGTATATACGACAATAGATCAAATTAATGGTCGCAGTAGTATTATGCCCCAAACAAAGGAGAAAAATAATATAAAATTGTATAGCAATTTCAATCATACCCACAAATTTCCTAGCCTGTACCAGGAATCGGACCCAGTTGCCTCTTTTGTTCATCTTGGCCTCCATCCTCTCGTATAGTACATTCAATTCTTCTTCTTCTTCTTCTTCTTCTTCTTTTGTCGTAGGATTACGTCTTTCGGCAACGTATTGGGGGTTAAATTTCAAAAAAACCAAAATCGATTGCGTTACGTAAAATGGTCAGATTTTGACCACTCATAACTTTTACAATAGCGGATGGATTTTAATTCTAAATAAGCCAATAGATTGGAAATTTTTCCACAAATCTGCTGGAATGAACCCTTTATTAATTTTCATTAGGTCACTATTTGATACGGTGTGGCAGATCTTTCACAGCACCGCACAGTGGTGCCAAGGGTATCAAAACACGCGCTTTTTTATTTACGCTGAAATGGTTGATTAAAGGTACTAGGTATCTCCTGAGAAGTTTCTCGGGTTACTACACTTCTTCCTATGGTAAAACAAAATTAAAGATTAATCCACCTTAAAGTGAGATGCAATTTCTTTTAATATGATGAGATACAAAATAATTTTGTTCGGCAAAGCTGTAGAGAACATTACTGTCAACAACTTTGCTGAAGACTAACTTTCTAGCTCTTATAACTGCTGAGATATAAAGGTTTTTTTTTTGGGGACATCGTTAAAATCAGTTTTGTATCTGTAACTTTTTAAACAATATTTCTACATGTCTGGCATGTTCTACAAAGATGTAAGAAATATAAAATTACACATCTTTTTAGACGACTGCAAATTGCTATCATTAATATTTGAAAAGTTATTTACAGTTTTTGGTTGAGAAATACCCCACTTCCAATACCAATAACTTCTGAACGGGCAAAAACAAGCAGGCCATTCTTTGAGCAATTGAAAATACAAGAAAATGCAATAAAATGGTGAAGAAACCAGACCGCCCCCACGTGACCCTTAACCGAAATACTTGCATTGAATCTTGTCACTTTTCAGAATTAGAAATGGCGATTTTGTGAATCCACGGGATTGCTATCGAGTAGGTGTGAAAAGAGGCATACAGTTGAGTAAGTGATTTCTCTACAAACATTGCTTCTACATTTTGTTCTTTATAGATATTATATAGCATACATAAAAAGTGCATAATTTTTAATAGCTTTAATTAAAAGTAAATTTCACCATATCTTCTCATGTTGGTTTTCCACCAGTCCATGCGATTGAAGGCGGCTCGGGGGTGAGTGCTCTCAGAAGCAGCACGAGTTGTCCTTTCCTGCTTTCCTGTTTATTTACTTTGTCCTGTTGTACCTTTTCTTGCTTTTGTGCGTAGGACAATAATTCATTCGTTGCTTCTTAATCTTGCAGAAGAAACACTTGTTATTGGACCAGTTTTAAATAGTGTCCCCTTCCAATTGAGGAAATGAAGCGCGGCTGATTTGCATTTTTACTTCCATATGCACACCTTGTACCCTGGTGTACATGTCGATACCCAGCTTCGCCGAGACTTTCTCGCGGGCGCACACTTAAATATTCCGTTTATCCCCATCACCAATTGAAACTCACAACTGTTCGACCCCGGGAGATTCTGTGTCGTCCCAAAAGGGGGCGTGTTCAAACCCCTGGCTGCTGTTCTAAACCAGTCAGCAGTCGTTGGGGTGGGCACCAAAGGCCTCTTTTGCTCCCGGGCCTCCGACGTTGGAAAGGTAGGGTGAATTTTTGGGATTATGAGAGGCCTACCAAAAAGGCTTAATTTAGGCTGTAATTTAATGGTTTTGTTGATCCTGCCATCTTAGATTGTAAAATTGCGTCGGACATAGATTTTGGGCCTCTATATATTGGCCCAGAACCTTACTGTGGAATATCAAACTGTACGGTTAAAATGGAACTCAAACGCTGGGAAGAACAAATTCCGATTCCGAAAAATACCCATATTGGTGGATATTTGACAGTATTTCCAACTTTTCCTGTATCTAGAAGCTGCCATCTTGCATTTCAAGACATTCATTTTCGATCTCTAGACTTCATCCCAATATTGAAGGGTATTTGACGGTTTTTCCCACTTTTTCTGAAACTGGAAGCCGCCATCTTGGATTAAAAAAAAAAAAATACTTTGACCAGGGATCGAAAATCATTTACATTCATTTCGTGCATTCATTTACATTCATTTTCATCAACAGAATACCGTTAAATGATGTATGAAGCTTTTGTAGCTTTTGATATTAACTACAACTTTTGTTAATAACCATAATCTGAATCTCTTATGCTTGATGAAATAGAGCTGGCAGAACATGTTATTGTTTTTCACTGAATGCAATTTACATTCACTGAAAAACAATGGTGGGTTCTTATCCCTCTGATTCATCATGCATAAGAGATACAGATTTGAGTTGTGTACAAAAGATGTAGCTTATATAAAAACCTACAAAAGCTTGAAATACTATTTTACGAAATTCTGTTGATGAAAAAAGTAAGAGACAAAAGAATGTAAATGACCTTGATTCCAAAAATATCCCTACTGAAGTGCTTGTATTACTTCTGCGAGAAGTTAACGATTTTAAATAGTTGAAGATGCTTAGTTTCAAATAACAGACTTAAAGTGGTCATATTATACGAAAGATGAGGAGATGAAAATATAGAGTTGATAGTTCCGTTAGAGTATGGCAGTGTGAAAATTGTATATAGAGAGTAGAAAGCGAAAGCATTTCAAAATCGCGTCAGACATCAAATTTCGGTATCCATACGGCTCCCCGATTCTTAAAAAAGATGCCTTATTGAATGGTATTTTACCGTGTTTCCACTTTTCTGAAACCATATTGGATTTCAAGATAGCTTCGGACATCGATTTAGGGGCTCGACCTTGATTCCTAAAATATATATTGAAGGGTAAAGAATGTACTCGAAAAAATTGCAACACTTTATTTTGCATATAACTTTTTATTGCATGGGTAAACATTGATGAAATGTTGAGTAAAACTATTTTAGAGTGTAATGTTTACATGTGCAAAATCTCGCCACAATCTGTCAAGTGGTTATCGAGATGGCTTCCAAGCAAGAAGTGTTTTGACAAAAAACAATGGAAGCGATCATAGAAAATCCAGGCCAGTCCCACAGGTGGATCGCGGCGAGCTGGCAGTGGAAGAAAGGCAAAGACGACCGACCCCGTGAACTCAAGGAAGGTGATGGATTGCTTCAAGCGCAATCCGAACCTTTCGATTTGGGACGTGGCCATCAAGAAGGTCAATTCTTCCTTCTGGTTTGTCCAGCAGACAGTGAAACGGGCCAGATTTCATGTCTTCCAGGTAAGGAAGGCGCCCAACCGAACCGGTCAACAGAATACGGTGGCCAAATTCCTCGCCAGGAAGCTATACCACGAGTGGTTGGTGCAGCCGAAATACATCGTAATGGACATTAAAACGGACGCCAAGCAGATCCCCGACCTGGAGTTTTTCGTCGGCAAGTCCCGCCTGGATGTTCTGGAGAAGTTTCGGAAGAAGAAAGTCGACAAATTTGCCAAGAAGTATTTAGTATGGGTGCGGCAAATTCAGCAAGCCGTGCATTACGACCGGCACCATCAACGGCCAAATATACAAAGTAGAAAGCCTCAAGAAGCGCCTGCTGTCCTTCCGAAACCGGTGATGGAGTGGTACTAACCCAAGAAACCAAACGTTCTGATAAAAGGCTATTTGTGGCTTAAGCAGTTTGATTGACGGTGGTCTATGGAATTCAATGCAGCCTTATTTTTAAGTCGTTATAAGAGCTTGAAAGTTCGGGTACCATAATTGAAGAGCATTCTAAGCAGCTTCTGGCGGAACTTGAACGGAATTGTTAGAAAATAAGTTCAAGAAAGGTTTTTGTCCTCTACACCAATTCTATATTTAGTTCGCACTTTTATGAAAGTTTATTCTTAAGTCAGGTCTTCATGCAAATTATTTTTAAAGGCAGGTATGAACGTTTATTGATTTATCAGCGTAAGTAGTAGCATGCATTGGTGAGCTGTTACAAGAATATTACCCAGTGCTACTGCGTGAGAGCCCCAGTACGAACCGCTACGTCATCTGAGATATATTGAAGTGAGCCGAATACAAAGGTTCGAATAAGAATTATGATTTATTTGAGCCACTGATGATTTCATATTGGCGTACATTAAATTTTGTTAATAATAAAGACTGCTGCGGATTGCTTCATGTGGGCTATGACGGACCTTTTTAGAAACCTTCAAGTTGCCAAGAAGTTCCACAGGGAGCTTTTAAGATACTTTAAAGTTGCTAAGAAGTTCACCTGGGAACTTATTCGGAACTTTGTTGTGGTCATGTTTTCAGCCTTGTCTGAAGTTCCTAAGAAGTGCTTAGGTATGTTTTTTGGAATTTTGTTGAACTTCAAGTTTCTAGGAGTACGCATCGGAACTTTTTGGAGCCTGAAGTTCCTCGTGTGCTTTCTATAGTTTCTAAAGTAGCAAGAATGTTGTATTGGAACTTTATATGCACTCTATGGAACTTGAAATTGGGTTTTATCGTTAAATGCAGAACTTTTGGTTGCTTTGGAGTACTGTCGCAACTTTATTTGAACTTTATGGAACTTGAAAAATCTGTCGGAACTTTATGGAACTTGTAAAATCGGTCGGAACTTTATTTGAACTTGATGGAACTTCAAAGTTCTGTCAGAACTTTATTCGAACTTTATGGAACTTAAAGGTTCTGTCGGAACTTTATTTGAACTTTATGGAACTTGGAAGTGAATTTTATCGTTGAATGTGGAACCTTTGGTTACTAGGGAAGCCAACGATTTTTGTACCGCAGGAGGAAAATATGCCAAACTCACCCGAACTTCGCCCAATAAAAAAATTCTGGGCGATTATGAAGGGAAAGCTCGGGAAAACAGGAAAGGTATTCAAAAACGACAAGGATTTGAAAAAAAATTGAATGAAAGTGTGTAAGAAAGATGGCACAAGTGTTGCACAGGATTTGATGGGTAACGTTAAGTCAAAGGTGTAGACATTTAGCCTAATAAAGGAGGTTAAATAAACCAACTTTGCAAAAACATAGCTAATTTGTGTTTATTTATTCCCTGAGAATTTAAAAAATATCCGACTTAAAATGAATTTTTGGTAATCATTTTTGTCTGTTGCATTTTTTTGTTTTCGAGTACAGTCGTTAGTTGACAGTATTTCCCTTTTTTACTGAAACGGGAGGCCACCATCTTGGATTTCAAAATGGCGTCGGACAATGATATCTGGTCTCTAGACGTCACCCTGATTCCAAAAGTTGTAGGATATTCGACAAAATTTCCCACTTTTTCTGAAATTGGAAGCCGCCATCTTGGATTTCAAAATGGTGTCGGAAATCGATTGCCGGTTTCTAGACGTCTCCTCGATTCCAAAAATATCAATTTTTAGGAGGATTTAAAAGTATTTCCCACTTCTATTTTTTTTTTGTAAACGAGAAAGAAATATCGCACCACTTATCTAAAGTCGCGAGTGAGCTGCGATGCGAATTAAGGTGTAGCATCCGGATTTGATATGTTGTGGCAAAGTGACAGCTAAATCAAAGCCGGATGCATTGCGTGCCGCTCTTTACACTTGCGAAGTAAGAGAAAAAGTGCTACCAACCAAAACTTTACATCTGTTTTCAGTTTTTTTTTCCTTTGATTTGTTTTTTTTTTTCGTCGATCTTGTTTTCCGTGCTGAGCACCAATGCTACCGACGTGCCAGGAAGGCAGCTCCCACACCTGGACCCTACCTATCGACCCATCAACTCATGAACCGGGGACCAACGGCTTTACTTCCCATCCGAAGGAAGGCGTGATCAGAGATGTTATGCCTCAGAACATCCCGGCGGCGCCGACTGGGATTGAACCCAGGCCTTCTGGGGTGAGAGGTAATCGAGCTTACCACTACACCACCGACACCGTTATGTTTTCAGTTGAATGGGCAATATCATATCATATCCTTAATAAAGACAACCAACCAACCCTGAGTACTGCCGAGTAAATCGATTTCATTTTGCAAGCCAATGGAAAACTGCTTCAAAATTTGTTCAAGTTTAAAATTGTTTTGTTCTTTCTCAGTTGATTCCCGCCAAAAGCTCTGACCCAGGAGTGCTCGAGCCCCCATGACTCTATCAAAGTTTGTTTATATACATGTTTCACCAAAGTATGTTTTACTGTAATTGAAAATACAGCTGAGTCATAAAAACTATGCTGGTTTTTATACTTTCATCATTGAGCGTGTTGGTTTTTGTCTTTGAGCTTACAATTAATAATGTGTTATGAAAAAGTATGAATCATTTTTATGAGATTGCAATGCTTAACGAGAGGTAAGAACAGTAACTGAGTTTGTTGCTTCTGAATGTTTGGCTCCCGTTTGACAGTTCTGACTGGCTCCCAAGTGACAAGCACATTGAGTGAGTCCGCAGTACCCAGATCCAACCTATCTGTTTTCAGTCGAATGGGCAATATCGTATCTGTTTTCTCTTACATGGAGTGGGAATTGTTCATCCTTACGGTGCCTGCAGGGAGAGAGACGACATCTCAGCCATTTGGCAGGTCTTCTGCTCGATTGGAAAGATGTTTCCCAAACCATTGACAGCTAATCGACTGTTTCAATTTTGACATGCACTCTGTTCTGCCTCTAAGTGACAGTTCAATAATCACATTCGAGCATTCTTGTTGACAGTATTGATCAAACGATTTTCGTACAGACATTAAGCATGCTTAACAGATCTTATTTTCAATCTCTAGTTAATTTTGTAAAATAGATTAAATTTGTCCGCCCCTCAGGCATTTATTGGTGGAAATGCCACCTTCGCCACCTGCTGAGTCCGGTGCTTTCTTTCATCAGCCACGAAGAAGAATGATGCACCTGTTGCAAACCCAAAGTAAACAGCATTTCAGACAGTCAAGCTAGACATTTCGAGCGTAGAACTTTCCCATTAGCTCACGAAAGGTATTCAACCAATAATAACTAATTATCGAATTTCGTCGGTTCGGATCTGAAAATTGAATTTGCCCTTCAACGAATTCCCAACCCACCCGCTGTGAGAAAATGCTCAACTCATCAAGTGACGGGAAATGAAAATTTCAGTCTGCTGCAAAGCTCCCACATCCTTTGACTAAGACTCCTCCACCACCTCCTCCACCCAATGCTGCTGTGTGCTAACCGCACCACTCATCGAAACTAATTTCATTTCCGCTGCTAAGACTTTTGGAGAAGGAAAGCGAAGCGCAAAACCCAAAGCCAGCATTCAGCTTTAACAGAATATTATCGCTCGGGATTTGCTATGTCGAATCGTAGCTACTTTGTGCTCGTTAGGGAATAATTAAATCACCATCATCATCAGCAGCAGCGAGGAGCTGAAGCTGAAAGCAGAATGAGACAAGGAATCATATCTAAGAAGGTTTCCGCAAATGATTTGGATTCGATTGTCCTTATAAGATTGAACCAGTTGGTGCTTCAGTCGGGATGGAAGATTTTTTTTCTGGGTATGATTGAATTTGATGAGTTTACTTATTGTTGACGGAACAATGTGATATTGAAGCATGTTAAAGTTGAGTGATTCAATTTTATTTTCATCTGAAACGCATGATTTATTATTCAATTTGTAGTGTGGTTGCATGGGTAGATATTTCCAGATTTCAGCACTCGTTCAGACATTCCCTAGCGAAGGAAAGCCAACAGTTTGTAGGGATTCACGTAGCAAACGATAAATCATGGCGAAAGCATTACAGCATTGCACTTTCTCCATAAAACGCTGGAATAGTCTAGGTTCACCACCAGAAGCATAGGTGAAGTATAACATCTCTCATGCGGTCCTTGCAACGTGCATCTGAACTCCACCGTGTGTTGGACGAAATTTATCTCAGATCGAGCACGTTCATCTGATTTATTCAATTATCTTCCAATCGTATCGCTTTCACTAAATTGTAACCAACTTCGGTTGAAAGCAACTGCTCTCGGGTGATTGTTCCTAATGTTTCTGTTTTTTTCTATTTTCTTTTGTCTCTTGCAGCGCACGGCACGAAGTTGGATCGAGGCGAATTTCCAGAAGCGCGAATGCATCAAATACATCCCGAGCTTGAAGAATGAAGAAGTGTAAGTATACGTTGAGGTTTTTCTTTCTAGAATACAATGTATCCTTTCATTTCAGAGTTGCCATTGTTTCGGCGACTTTTTGTTGTGCATTATGTATGGGAATAATTGTACTCTGCTATGTTCAATGGAATAAGCATGCTCTTAAATTGGGCTAGGATGTATTCAACATACATTTTGTCCTAGATTATGCATCCTTTCATTGAGTTTGAAAATGCTGAATGGTAGATGTTTCGGGATAATATCAGTGGGTTTATCACAGACACAGATTCTTTTTAAAAAGAACCCTAATGTACTTGTCATGATTCTACGTTTCAAATTCGTATCATATTTCCTATATGTCATATTGGAAACACACACCACAAACGGAACAATTAGCCATTAAACCTAACGTAAGAAATCTTCTGAAAGAGAAGAAAACTTCAAATATTGCCAAGACGTTTTCTTCTAGTAATCTTCGAGATCTCCTCTAGCCTTCATTTATTATTATTATAGTCCATCTGACTTGGTAGTCTCAATGAAACACTTAAATCTAAATGCAGTCACTCATTAAAAATTAAAAATTGGGTGGCAGCAAACGATGAAGAAATCTAGAGGCATTGATGTCAAAGTTAAATAGGTCAGATACTTCGTTAAATTGATGAATCATGGCGACAAAGGAACTGTTTGCAGCATAGTTGGTTAAATGTACTACTTCATGTAGCAAGGCTCTCGAAAGAGTGCTCAGGCAGGAGCATACAGCTTAATTTTGGCCAGTAACTCAGGAACATCATATTCTGTGAGCAAGACTTTAGCAACGAAGACGGCCTGCGATACGTTTCGTTGCTCAGCAAGAGTATCCAAACCCAGCAAACGACAGCGGTCAGCATACGGTGGTAGATTCAGTGGGTCACTCCAAGGTAAATAGCGCACTGCGTATCTGACGAATTTGCGTTGAACAGCTTCGAGTCGTGCATTCCATACTGCTTGGTAGGGATTCCAGACAACACACACATATTCCAGTAATGAGCGTACCAATAAACAGTAAAGGGCTTTAAACTACAGATAATCACGGAATTCCTTAGAGATCTTGAACATGAATCCAAGCCGACGATTTGCTTTGTCGATCGTGGTTGAGAAGTGGCGAGTGTACGTGACCTTTTTATCCAACATGACACCGAGGTCTTTAACGTGATCGACACGTTGAAGTGCAGTCCCAGCAACGTTATAATCACACAAAATGGCAGTCCTTGTTCGACGGAAACTAATTACGCAGCACTTTGAGACGCACAGGACCATAAAATTACCAAAGAAAGCGACAAACGAATCTTGAATGTAAAATAGCCTGAGAATAATATCATGATGTTCTCCTCAGCAAGCAAAAACAGTCGTTCTAAGGCCACCGAGCCCCAATTATGATTGAGTTGATGTTTTAACCCACGGTGTACACTAATAGAGGTGAGATATCCGGAAAATGGCACTTGCGTGATGACGTCATTGCTATCCATCTCGACAACAAGCGCAAGAGGAAGCAGTGTAGAAGCGTAGTTAGTGAATTGTTATGTTTTTTTTAGTTTGTATTCTATGCATGCAATATTTTTTTTCTGGAAAATATAGTGATTTTTGGTACGTTTAATTTAAATGCTGTACAACTGGTTTTTGAAAATTCAAACGATAACCCGTTCTGAAATAATGATTTCTTTTTCTATGAAGTCGATTAATATTTTTGTAGTTCCGATGAAAGCCAGCTCATTAAAATCCTAAACGACCGTTAGATTTTTGGTTATGCCTTCAGACGTTCCATATCTCCAGTACGATGCATGTTAGAAATTATTCAAAGGTGTCATAATCAATTACCTAATGGCTGTTTTATGTTGCTCCCAGATCCAAATGTTTTTGGTTGAAATAGTACTATACTATACTTCCAATAATACTAATAACACAACCGGACTCGTCCTGTACGGGACAGGATTTGCGGCAGTGAGAGCAAGGCAACTAACACTAGTTGTCTATCTCATACTACAACATCTCCCGTTCCGCACGGGATGAGCCCCGTTGTGTGTGCAGACATTTTAAAGGGCAAAGTCAGCGAGAATGTCTTGTACATTTTCAAAGTCAATGCATATAAGCATATTCGTTTCAAGTTTGCATTGGTTTTCAACTCACTTTAAAATAAACGATGAAGTACACGCAGAGGGTTTCTTTCATTAAAAAAACAAACATTTTCTTCTTTCCTGTGAAGAGTGTTCATAGCAAAGATCCTTTTCAGTTTCCTTTTCTTTGCTTTCGTAGCGTTTGCAATATTTTGGTTTAGATTTTTGATACGGATATACAAGCGTGTTCTGAAAAACAGTCTTTTAGCATTATCTGGAAAATCTACATCCTTAGATGTGTTCATACAAGATTCAATGGTTTTTTTCTCTACATCAAACGTTTCGTCATGAACCCGTTTGAATACGTTGTCTAATGACATTATCTTGATTTGTAAAACCACGGTCTGGTTTTATCAAACCACCTTCGGAAACTTGATCCACCCAAGTAAAAATGGATTCGACCGGTGGTGAAATTTTAAGTTTTAGTATATGTTATCAATACTGCAATATATTCAATAGCATATTCTTCAAACTCTGAGAAGTGTGACGAAACATTTTCCTGTTTCAAATCAGCACTTCATTTGATTCCTATACGTTACTGCTGATGACTTGTTGAGTTGCATTAGATTGACCTGATAAACATTATATATTTTTTTTTTAATTTTCACGTACATAATTTTGTACACTTATTAATCTAACATAGTCTGTCTAAGCTTACTAAGGATGTTACTTAAAGTGAGAATATACATATATCACTACGAAAATTATAAAAGACTTTTACCTAAAATGCTGTTTCTCAACCTGTAGGATGAGAAATGTAGGCAGTTTGATGATCATGTAATCCTCCTTTTGAGCGTATGGTACCAAAGAAACGCTCGAGATCATCTTGTTGTATTCGTCTTATTAAGATATAAGGATTACCGTAAGTGGTTTGGAGCCATTCTGACAAACCAACCAGTGCACGAAAATACCCTTCCGCCATGGTAGAAGAGCACGTTTATTTGGAACTCGTAGATGTGAAATCAGTTCACTTATGATTTTTTTATGAACATGGTTTGTATGATCGAATGCTTTAAGCCTTTCTCTCATACCCCTCGTTGCCGACGATGAATTGAACAAATCAAACCAATCATTCATTATTTTTATGAAATCACTGGTTACTAAAGCATCTTGAGATGTTAGCTCGCCTAAACTCACAGCTATCCTAATTGCCTGTGAGACGGAGTTTGATAATAGCTGTACCGCTTATTTTACCTTTTGACGGGCAGCATTTTTGACATCCAAATGGGTTAACGTAATTTTATGGCAAATCTTTAGTTCATTTGGCTGGAGGTTCGAAAACTCGACTACTGACTTGGAGGTAATCCAGTGTTTCTGATCTTCCTTGTCCAACACGTAACCAGTATCGATAAAATGATTACGAATAAGTTTCATGAGATGTTGAGGGTCTGCGAAAGTAAAAAAAAAATCAGGTCCTCTACGGTGAAATAGGTTCTCTCGCAGCTGATGCCAAGCTCTCGCCATAGACCAATGGTGGTCGGATCCATGTCACAAACAACAACAACAACAACAACGGGAAATTTAATATTTTTGAGTGTTTTGATTATATCCGTTACTATAGTTGCTGTCATAGCAGAATCAAAATTGTACTCCACTCCACGAATCATTCCTAGTTGGGCGTACTTCGATGGTTTCAAAACTTTATTGCAACTCCGGTGGTACTCAAAAACTGATTCGATTTTCATTTCATCGAATGACAAAACGCAAACCCGTTCTTTTTCGCAATACTCACTGTTTTCCAAAAGGTTCAGCACTGGTTTCAAAATACCTCGGGTAAGCTTGAAATACCTACCCATTTCTTGAGAGTTGAAACTGCAGGTAGAGGAGATCCTCGTGACAAAAGCAATCGGTATGTTTTGGCACCAGCAGCATGTAACAATATTGCACGAGATATGTCATCAGGTGTCCACTGAACCCGTCGCTGATGAGGATCCCTTAATTTTCGCAGCTGCCCCTTTGAAAATATCTTGGAAACATTGCCATTCAATGCCTTGGACTTCCTTATTCTTTCGGTTCTCTTTATTGAGCTTTTTCTTCAACTCCGAATTATCCCTTCTCAAAGAACTTTCCTAAATTTTCCTAAAAGTAATGTTTAAGCATCACATAGCTACATTTTTAAAGAAGCTGATTACCCCGTTTGTACAACCTTATTTAGTGTACAACTACCAGATTGGACACCAACGTTATGAAAAATAACCGGGTTTGATGAATGAACAGCAACATCATTCCGAATTAAGGCCGAGTTACCATGGAGAGAATATTCGAATGAGGTATTCGTGTATTCTTCTGACGATTGTAGACTGAGAGTGCGAGAAGATATCGTTAAGGTAAATTTATTTTTAGACCCCGTTGAATTAAAAATGGAACAATAACATCCTGCGATGGTAATTTCAGACTTGGAATGGCTCCTGGTTTCAGCCTTCGTTTTGACCACTCTGTGTGCAACAAGATATCCTTCAGCCTGTAATCCTGCTCACAAAAATGTTCCGAACAAATGTTCAAGCGTTGTTGCTAATTTGAATCTCTGCCGCAGGCTTTCAACCACACTGCTTTCAAATTTCCTTCACGTGGAAACCAAAAATACTTTAACTGTACGGACCACAGTTTATTCCCTTCATAATTTTGGCAATTAATAACAGCGCACTTCACCATTTTCAAGAAATCAAACCCGCACTTCATGATTTGCGTTACTACGGTCAGCGCTGCTCAAAGATAGGAATGACGTCATATGTTTACATCCAAACTAGATATTTACTGTCGAGAGTAGCCTACCTTGTTATGTATACCGTGGTTTTAACCATTCAAACCCGGCACCGACGACAACGACAAGTTCCACAAAACACACGATGCGCAAGCAATTTTCTTCTTAGT